AGAGAGAGAGAGAGAGAGAGAGAGAGAGAGTACATCCAGGGACCATTACGGGCCGAGAGAGAGAGAGAGAGAGAGAGAGAGAGAGAGAGAGAGAGAGAGAGAGAGAGAGAGAGAGAGAGAGAGAGAGATTACATGCAGGGACCATTACGGGCCTCGAGCGCCCAGGATCTGATTCAACATTTTGGGACAGACCGAGATTACAGGCAGGGACCATTACGGGCCTTGAGCGCCCAGGATCTGATTCAACATTTTGGGACAGACATTGGATGGACGATGACTTTCATTCTTGTTCCTCCTCCCTGCTCCATATCCGGCTTGACTCCCTCCCTCCTCATCGTCCGTGGACTTCTCCCCATGTGTGTGTGAGCAAGGAGGGACCTTTCTTCCATGGTTGTATCCCCATGTGTGATGATGCGTTTGTGATTTGAGTCGGAGTCCGGTGCATCAGCTAGTATCTTTGAGTCTTCCCTGTGCTACATCGTCTTATTTTGTGATTGTATGGACACATAGTGCTTTCTTGATGATGAGTTGTACGAGTCCTTATCATCACCTAGTTGGTCCTTCGGCTCTGTTGCATTGCTCTTGTTGTTCTGAGCATGCATCAGTGAGTCTGGAGACTGTGCCGAGCCTTTGGATGGTGTGTGATATGTGGCCGAGTTTGAATTCGATGAAAATCTTTAACTCTTCCTCTACTGTTGCCTGTGTTGGGCCTGGTCATTGGTGTTTGTAAAGCCTGGAGTTATTTTCTAGGCTCTGGTGTTATTTCTGAGCCTTCGAGGGCGGTTTGACCTGATGGATGTCTTAGGCGACTCCTGGTGCTCGGCAACGACTTTTGACCCCAGAACTCGGACTCAGATGTGGAGATAGGACCTTATACTGAAGTCTAATGCACTTCGCATCGTGTTTTCTTGGAGAAAACAAATAGAAACCTGAGAAGATCGAAGGTGAAGGGCGAACGCCACACTATTTATGCATATCTGCAATTGTCGGGGTGAAGCAATCAAGATCCCGAAGAGGTAGTTAAAAAAATGATGGAATCTGTGCCTGATCCCAGCGACGCCGAAGGGGTATTATGTACGGGTATCTCTATAGATAGGTTAAATTAACGAAGAGCTCTAGATAGTTGAAGAGGCAGTAGTAAAATTATCAAATCACTACCTGATTCTTCCACCCATATTTTCAAACCCCCTCAAGAAATCAAGGGTAGATTTAGCGCACAAACTACCAACACGTATGTCAACTTCATCTTTAAACCAGATTCGGAAAGCCATTCAAGTCTTTTCAATATCCCTTCACACTGAAAGAAAACAGGAGAACAATGACCACTCATGGTGCCACTTCGGCTGTTTGTGTTTGGTTGTCTTTGTGTGTGTCTCTGGGTGAATGTGATGCGTGTTTGCGCATCCTTTTTCTTTGTTGTGTATGTATAGATATGCATGTGTTTGTGTGTGTGCGTGTATGTGTGTG